GGAGGGAAGTTCCTTTAGAGGCCCAGCTGGAGTCTCAACTCACCTTAACCTCTAAATGCCCGCCTGTGTCTCCATCTAGCCCTCCACCCCAACTCTAATCCTCAGTAGGCCTCAAACTCCAGTCCCTCCTGTTTAGGTAGAACAACTGAAGCTTTTCCAACATTCTGTTGGGAAATCAGTGGGCGGGTGGGCAGGACAGGCATTCCCACTCCAAGTCTGACATGAATTCCTCTCCCTGGGACCTGAATATGACTGTGAGTGGAGAAGTATGACCATGAACACGAAGGGGCAGGGTGGTGGTGGTAAAGGTGGTTGGCAGGGCGGGAAGTCCTACCCGAAGTCCACCTTGAGTATCTCATGTACTTGAGTAACGTCCTCGAACCCTTAGACCCCTCCGCCTTACCTCCAGCAGGGCAGAGTTCTGCTTCAGGACGTTGGTTTTTATTTCAGCATCTTCCACCGACCGGGTCACCTTCCGGCAGTTCTCCTGGGTCAGGATACCAGGGCAGGGGCCCTGCCTTCCCATTCCAGTTCTGTCTCCCAACCCTTATCCTCGTTATTTTCCATGCAGGCCCCACCCCACCTCAGCCGAGACATGCCCACTTCTTCCGCAAGGACTGCCTCTGCCCTTGGTTCCCTTGGCTCGCTTGGATAAAGGGCGGGTTCTTCCTAGGACCTCTCCCATGCTCCCTGTCTGCTTGCCCCCATCTCTCTCCTGTCGATCACTCTACTCCTCCCCATTTCCTCTCACCCTCCTTCCTACTCCTGCTTCCTTCTTTCCGCCCCACTCCTGCCCCTCGGCGGCTCACCTTGAGTTGACTACAGTACCCTTCTAGTTCTTCCGCCTCTTGCCGCCTTCTCTCTAAATTCTCACTCAGCACAGAACACTCACTCTGGAGCATGGAAGGGAGGAGGGGTTAGCCAGGGCCTCCAGGGGACACCCCAGGGGAAGGGGGGGAGAGGTGGGAACATCGCTTTCCCTTCTGAGCCTCAGTCTCCCCCAACTGGGCTATGGGTGCATTGAGCTGGAGAAGAAGGGGAACGTGGCCCCGGAAGTAGAGGAGGCGTTGACAGGGAACGGAGTGGTCCTCACACCTGCAGTGTCTGCACGTGCTGGTTAACCCGGGTGGTCTTCTCCTTCAAGCTGGTGATGGAATCTTTGGCACGCACCAATCCACTGTTGACCCCACTCTAGGGAAGAACGGGAGACAGCCAGGGGTCAGTGGGTGTAGGGGAGCAAACCCCAACCCCAAAAGAAAGTCTTAAAACTGCCTTTACACCTTGATTCTGCCCTGGAATAGCTGGTGGAATTGGGGGCCAGGGCTGCGCCTCTTTGATTCTTGGTGTTCTTGCTCCATTAAGCCAGGGGGCAGACTCTTTTTCTGCTTAGTGGATGGGAAGAAAAATAAGTAGGATCCAGGAGGAAGTGGGGGGTGGGGGGTTGCTCAAACTTGTGGGAGAAGGAGGATGTTCTTAACGTGAGATAAATGCCTTTGGGTCCAGAGACATAAATAAGATAAACTGTTAAAACACATGCCCTGTCTTTCTCTCCAGGCAGTGGAGGATTCTAAAGATAACCCACTTTCCAAATATAAGCACTCACTATGCACCAAGTCATGCACTTACCCACGTTTTCCCTTTTATTCCCCACAACTGCACCTCTTGAGGTTATTTTGGCCCATTTTGCAAGGGAGGCAAATGAGGCTCAGAGAGGGGATGTCCTTTGTATTCCCAGGTACATGGTACGTGAGGTGCCCTTGTCAGAATTTATTCTCAGAACCAGAACCATTGTTTTAAACCATGATGCCATGTGGCTGCTGATTATAGATAGCTACCTCATGTTATCATAAAATGCTTTGTGACCCCTGTCAAAAAAAACAGCTCAGGAAGGCTGCATGTGACAGGATCTCCACTCTCCTGTCTTCCATATTTATAGAAGAGTTAGCCTGGCACATGACTGCCCAGCCAAAGACTACATTTCCCAGGTGCCCTTGCAGCTGGGCATGCCCATGTGACTAAGTTCTGGCCAATGGAATATGAGTGGGAATAATGTAGGCAATTTCCAATTCATGCCTTTAATAAAGGAAAGTAGGGAACATACCTCCCTTTCTCTATGATGTTGATGGCTAAAGCCAGAGCAGCCATCTTGGACCATGAGATGGAGGACACAAGATAAAAGAATATTGAATTCTCAACCCTGTGAAGCTGCCATACTCAATTCCAACCACTTTTGAATACTTTACATGTGAGAAGGAGAACATTTTCCACCTTGTTTAAACTATGCTACTTTTGGGACTTCCCTGGTGCTCCAGTGGCTAAGACTCTGTTCTCCCAATGCAGGGGGCCTGAGTTCGATCCCTGGTCAGGGAAGTAAGATCCTCCATGCTGCAACTAAGAGTTGCATGAACACATGCCACAACTAAAAATATCCTGAGTACAGTAACTAAAGACCCCACATGTCACAAGGAAGACCCAGTGCAGCCAAATAAATATTTTAAAAAACCAACATTGCTACTTTGTGTCTTTTATGTTACAGCAGCCAAACTTGTGACTTAATAACTGAGCCTCTAGAACCCTGGGGCCTCTAACCTGCTTCATTGGAAGAGACCTGCTATACTTGAGATGTTTATGTCAGCAATAAACTATCCTGCTTCAACCAGATATTTTGGGTTTCTTTCACAGCTGCTTAAGTAATACACAAAGAGAAAAGAGAACAAGCTTCCTCCATTGTAAAATGGGAACAACTTCACATTTCTTGCACAACTGCTCTGGATAAATACCGTGATAAATACTGTATTAAGGTGATATCAGCAAAATGGAGTTGGAAACCCCCAAATTACACCCCTCAATGAAAACAATGAAAAAAAGTGACCAAAACTGACTCAAGTCATTGAGAAGATAACAACAATCATAAATATATATGCACCTAATAGAGCTTCAAAGCACATGGATCAAAAACTAACAGAATTGGGAATTCCCTGGCAGTCCAGGGGCTAGGACTCAGTGCTTTTACTGCTGAGGGCCCAGATTCAATCCCTGGGTCAGGGAACTAAGATGCCGCATGCAGCGTGGCACAGCGCCCTCCCCTCCCCATCCCCCAATAAAGAATGAATTGAAAACTAGAAAGTAGATCAGCAAGGAGATAGAAGACTTGAACATTATAAATCAACCAAACCTAACAGACATCTATAGAACATAACACGCAAGAGCAGAATACACATTCTTCTCAAGTGGAATGAAACATTCTTCATGTGGTCAAGGACAGACCCTAAAGGATATAAAGACAAAGTGTGCTTTCCGACCTCAAAGACCTCAGTAGAATGAAATTAGGAATAAAATGCAGAAGGAAATTTGAGGAACTCACAAATACTGATATGGAAATTAAACAACACACTCATAAATAATCAATGGGTGGAAGAAGAATCACAAGAGAAATTATACTTTGGAATGAGAGAAAATGAACAAAGATTAGAATGGAGAAAATGAAACAATAGAACAGGAGAGAAAAATCAGCAAACTGGAAGTTGTTTTTAAAAGATCGACAAAATTGCCAAATTCTTAGCTAGACTAACTCTGGAAAAGAGGAAGAATACTCAAATCACTAAAATCAGGAAGGAAAAAGGGGACATTACTACCAGTCTTATGGTAAGAGAAAGGATTGCAAGTGAATTCTATGAACAATTGGATGCCATCAAACTTGATAACCTAGATGAAATGGAAAAAATCTTTGCAAAACACTAACTGGAAAAGAGATAGGACATCTGAATAGCCCTATAACAAGTAAAGAGTTTGAGTTAGTAATTTTAAAACTTCCAACAAAAAAAGCCCAGATGACTTCACTGGTGAATTCTACCAATCTTTTTTTTTTTTTTAAAGAGTTGCTGCCAGTTTATCTCAAACACTTCACCATAAAAACAGAAGAGGAGGGAACTAACTTATTCTATGAAGCCAATGTTACCCTGATACCAAAACCAAAGACATCACCAGATAGTAAAACTACAGACCAATATCCCTTCTGAAAACAGCCACAAAAATTGCAACAAAATCCAGCAGCATATAAAAAGGATTATGTGCATGTGTGGTTAGTCACGCCTGACTGTTTGCGACCCCATGGACTGTAGCCTACCAGGCTCCTCTGTCCATTAGATTCTCCAGGTAGGAATACTGGAGTGGGTTGCCATGCCCTCCTCTAGGGAATCTTCCCAACCCAGGGACTGAATCCGAGTTTCCTGCAATCCAGGCAGATTCTTTACCCACTGAGTCACCTGGGAAGCCTTTAAAAAAAAAAAAAGAAAGGAAGAAAAGGATTATACATTACACCATATATAATTTACCCCAGGCATGCAAAATTGTTTCAACATGAAGATTAACTCATGTAACATATCATATTAGTAAAATACAAGGTGAGGGTGGAATACAATCATGTCAATGAATACAGAAATAGCTTTTGACAAAATCCAATACCTTTTCATGATAAAAACACTCAACAACAACAACAAAAAAAAAAAACACTCAACAAACTAAAAGTACAAGGGAACTTCCTCATCCTGGTAAAAAGCACCTACAAAAAAAATAATTAAAAACAATAAAACCGACAACAAAGCCATGGTGGTTTTAAATACACCCATAAGGTTTTTGAGACTGTTTCCAAATGTAGTGCCTTACTCCCTCACTTGAGTTGGCTGGACCTAGTAACATACCCAGTAAATAGCATAAGTCAGAGTGATGGTATGTGACTTAAGAAACTAGTTCACGAAAGGAACTGTGGCTTCCTTCTTGCTCTGTCTGGCTCTGGAGGATGATAACTGCCAGGCCGTAAGCAGCTCCTTCTGGAGAGGCCCATGTGGAAAGAAACTGAGGCCACCAACCGGGAGTATATGAGTGCGCCATCTTGAAAGCACCCCCTCCATCCCCAGTCAAACCTTCAGATGACTCTGTGTGCTTAGTCGCTCAGTTGGGTCCAACTCTTTGTGACCCCATGGAATGTAGCCCACCAGACTCCTCGTCCATGGGATTTTCTCCAGGCAAGAATACTGGAGTGGGGTGCCATTTCCTCCTCCAGGGGATCTTCCCAACCCAGGGATCAAGCCCATGTCTCTTGTTATCTCCTGTGTTGGCAAGTGGATTCTTTACCACTGGTGCCACCTGGGAAGCCATCAGATGACTATGGCCCCTGCCAAAGTCTCTTTTTTTTAATTTTTTTAAAAATATTTTTTGGCGGAGCGGCATGTGGGATCTTAGTTCCCTGACTGGGGATGAAACTCGCGCCCCCTGCAGTGAAAGCATGAGGTCTTAAATACTAACATGCCAAGGAAGTCCCACCCTGCCAAAATCTTGACTGCAACCCTAAGCCAGGAGCACCCAACTAAACCACTCCAGATTTGTTGTTTTAAGGTCATGGATCGTTTGTTTCACTGCAATCACTAACAGATACACAGAATGATATTTTAGAACTGAAGACCCACAAAGTCTTGGACTTCTTGTAGGTAGAGGTTCTGGAAAACTAGGAGAGCAGGTCCTGGGGTCAACTCAGTTCTCCCACTTACTAGCTGTAAGGCCTCAGGGAGGGGACTTCACTTCTCTAAGCCTCTGTTTCTCTCCTTGTAAAACGGGGAAGGACTAATGACTACCTTCACGGGGCTGCTGTTGGGAAGAGTACAGGCTGACCCAGAAAGGCCGCTGGTCAACACATGGGAAAAGAGAAAGGGCACTGGAGAAAAGCTGGGGTCACTGGAGGTGAGTTTTAGCTTCTCTGAGAGCAGATTTGGGAAACTGAAGGCTGAGCCTGTCAGCTTTGGCTGGAAAGTGAAATGGTGGAGGTGCATGCATACCTGCTCTGTTGCTGCAGTGGCGTCTGCCTCTTTGCCACCCCATGGACCATAGCCCACCAGGCTGCTCTGTCTATGGGGATTCTCTAGGCAAGAATACTGGAGTGGGTTGCCATGCCCTCCTTCAGGGGATCTTCCCGACCCAGGGATGGAACCCGCATCTCCCGCATTGTAGGTGGCTTCTTTACCACTGGGCCACTGGGGAAGCCCCACGGTGGAGGTGGGCAGCAGCCAGATCTGGAGATAAACCCCTCCTCCTTGGCCACCCACACGCCACGCAGCTGGGCAGTCCAATTCCCCATTCCAAGCCTGCCTCAGTTTCCTTTCTTGTCCAATGGGAATGATGATACCTTGGCAGATGGTGGTGAGGAAGGATTAACAAGATGTTAGGATCCATAAGGCAAGCGCCATGATTAGTGTCAGCATCATTAAAAGTAACGACAATTGGAAAAAAAGAAAAAAAAAAGTAACAACAATAGGACATGACCTACCAAGAAGGGGCTTAGCACTGAGATTGCATAGCCGCCTCAGGGAGGTCTGCAGGCAGCAGGACAAATGGGAAGCAAGGCTGCAAAGATCTAATCTGTCCATTTCTGCACAGAGGCACCAACATTTCCTAAAAGAAATACCACCTCCTCAGTTGCATCCTCTGGCCTCATAAAGATGTCAGAGCTTAAGCTATGAACTAGGAACTTCCCTGGCAGTCCAGCGGTGAGAACTCGGTCTCTCACTGCTATTGGCTCAAGTTTGATCCCTGGCTAGGAAACTAAAAACCCACAAGCTGCACTGGCATGGCCAAAAAAACAACAAAAAGGAAAACACGAACCAAAGCTGTCTGCTTCACCATCTTCCGACCCTCCGTCCACTCTGGGAATTGCCATTCTCTCCCCGGGGGTCTCCATCACTCAGGGCTGTCTTCCTCTTCTGTCCGGTTCTCTGTCCCACTTCTCTCTATGGTGTCCGTTCCTTCTTTCTCTAGGCCTCTGCCCTCCTCCTCTGTCTCTGGTTTTCTGTCTCCTCCTCAGTTGGTCTCTGGCCCCCTCCCTAGGTCCAAGTCCTCCTCTCCCGGGGTCCCTGTCCCCCCCGCCCCAGATCTTGGTCCTCCTTGATCTCTGGGTTTCTGCCCCCTCCTCTCAGTCCATCTCCAGCTTTCTCTCCTGATACAGCTCTGATGCTGTGTGCCAGTCCCTGTTACTGTCCACTTCTTCACTGTTCTTGCCCCTAACCCAAGGTGCTGCCTGTCACTAATTTTCTCCATTTTACGGAGAAGCCTTGTGGAGTCCGGGGCTCCCCCGCAGCCCCACAGTGAGCTCACAGCTGCAGCAGACCTTGATCTTGGCCGCCCAGGGCTCTTTCTCAGGCATCACAGTCCTCTGGGGGATGTGACTCAGAAATAGCTCCAGTGGGAGGTGGACCTCTGCAAGAGCTGCCTGAGCAATGCTGGCAGTGAGGGGGAGGAGATGCCTTCCAGGCCATCCATCCCAGCTGGACTCTCTGCCCACTCCCTCCTCTCGACCTGGTCCTCTTACCCGGGACCTTCGCCTGGCCTCCTCTCTGGCCTGTTTCTGGCCTCCTCTCTGGCCTTCGGTCTCTCCCCTCCAAACATCTCCCACCTGGGCCCAGAGGCATCTCCTAAGGAAAGAAAGCATCAGACCCACTAAACCCCTGGTCCTGGCCCTGCTTCTTACAAGCTCTCTGACCTTGCAGGGGGTCACTCCACCTGTCTCTGCCTCACTAATTATTTGTGTTTCTTCTTCAAATGGGTCATTATTCCCTTTCCTTGCAGAACTTCTCAGAGAGGAAAATGAGACCCCCTCCCTACCACAGGGATGTGGCACAGTGCCTGGCACATAGTAGGTGCTCAGTAAATGGGCACAGAGCCCAAACTCCAGTGTGGCTCATCTCCCCTTGCCCAGGAACACGCAATGGCTCCTTATTGCTCTCAGGAGAATGTCCACACTTCTCAGCCTCTGTGTTCTGTGTTCCAGCCCCTGCCAGCCTCACCTCTCCCACACACCACAATCGAGCCACAAGGGCCTGTTCCCCCCAGGGCTCCTTTCAACCCCTGTCCTTTTGTTTATGCTGTTCAGCTAAGTGGAACACCCTTCCCTGTATTCCACCTTACTTATCTTCAAGATCCAACCTGGGAGTTGCCTCTTCCAGAGAGAAAGCCTTTCTTGACCATGGCCAGTTGGGCCAAGGCCTTGCTCTTCAGGGCTCCCACGGTGACTTCTACTGCCCCCATCAATGCGGGGTGCCTCCCCCGACCTGACTCCTAAACCTGGCCCCACTACTTAGAAGCTGTGTGACTTTGGGGGTGCTGTCTAACCTTCTAGAGCCTCAGTATCTTCATCTGTGAAGAGAGGATAACAACAACTAACCTGTATTCTGTGCATACGGCTGACTCTTGGGCTACACATTTTACATGAATGAGTTGCATTTCATTGTCATGACAACCTCATGAGGAGGGTGAAGTTCTCTACAGAACTCTATCTTAGGTGCTATTGTATTTCCCACTCCTTGTTCTCTGTCCCACTTCTCTCTATGGTGTCCGTTCCTTCTTTCTCTAGGCCTCTGCCCTCCTCCTCTGTCTCTGGTTTTCTGTCTCCTCCTCAGTTGGTCTCTGGCCCCCTCCCTAGGTCCAAGTCCTCCTCTCCCGGGGTCCCTGTCCCCCCCGCCCCAGATCTTGGTCCTCCTTGATCTCTGGGTTTCTGCCCCCTCCTCTCAGTCCATCTCCAGCTTTCTCTCCTGATACAGCTCTGATGCTGTGTGCCAGTCCCTGTTACTGTCCACTTCTTCACTGTTCTTGCCCCTAACCCAAGGTGCTGCCTGTCACTAATTTTCTCCATTTTACGGAGAAGCCTTGTGGAGTCCGGGGCTCCCCCGCAGCCCCACAGTGAGCTCACAGCTGCAGCAGACCTTGATCTTGGCCGCCCAGGGCTCTTTCTCAGGCATCACAGTCCTCTGGGGGATGTGACTCAGAAATAGCTCCAGTGGGAGGTGGACCTCTGCAAGAGCTGCCTGAGCAATGCTGGCAGTGAGGGGGAGGAGATGCCTTCCAGGCCATCCATCCCAGCTGGACTCTCTGCCCACTCCCTCCTCTCGACCTGGTCCTCTTACCCGGGACCTTCGCCTGGCCTCCTCTCTGGCCTGTTTCTGGCCTCCTCTCTGGCCTTCGGTCTCTCCCCTCCAAACATCTCCCACCTGGGCCCAGAGGCATCTCCTAAGGAAAGAAAGCATCAGACCCACTAAACCCCTGGTCCTGGCCCTGCTTCTTACAAGCTCTCTGACCTTGCAGGGGGTCACTCCACCTGTCTCTGCCTCACTAATTATTTGTGTTTCTTCTTCAAATGGGTCATTATTCCCTTTCCTTGCAGAACTTCTCAGAGAGGAAAATGAGACCCCCTCCCTACCACAGGGATGTGGCACAGTGCCTGGCACATAGTAGGTGCTCAGTAAATGGGCACAGAGCCCAAACTCCAGTGTGGCTCATCTCCCCTTGCCCAGGAACACGCAATGGCTCCTTATTGCTCTCAGGAGAATGTCCACACTTCTCAGCCTCTGTGTTCTGTGTTCCAGCCCCTGCCAGCCTCACCTCTCCCACACACCACAATCGAGCCACAAGGGCCTGTTCCCCCCAGGGCTCCTTTCAACCCCTGTCCTTTTGTTTATGCTGTTCCAGCTAAGTGGAACACCCTTCCCTGTATTCCACCTTACTTATCTTCAAGATCCAACCTGGGAGTTGCCTCTTCCAGAGAGAAAGCCTTTCTTGACCATGGCCAGTTGGGCCAAGGCCTTGCTCTTCAGGGCTCCCACGGTGACTTCTACTGCCCCCATCAATGCGGGGTGCCTCCCCCGACCTGACTCCTAAACCTGGCCCCACTACTTAGAAGCTGTGTGACTTTGGGGGTGCTGTCTAACCTTCTAGAGCCTCAGTATCTTCATCTGTGAAGAGAGGATAACAACAACTAACCTGTATTCTGTGCATAGGGCTGACTCTTGGGCTACACATTTTACATGAATGAGTTGCATTTCATTGTCATGACAACCTCATGAGGAGGGTGAAGTTCTCTACAGAACTCTATCTTAGGTGCTATTGTATTTCCCACTCCTAGACCAGCGCCTGACACATTTGTAGGTGTTTAAGAAATATTTCTTGAAAGAACATACACATGTGTCTCCATTTTACAGATGAAGAAACTGAGGCTCCGGAACACAGAAAGTGTTCAGTATCTGCTAATGAATCTTAGTATCATTATAACCAGGGTTATTGTAAGTGTGATTCTCAATGTCTGTGTCAAGCCTAGTTCAGAGCCTGGCCCAGGAGAAACCTGGCAAGGGGTGGAAGGTGATAGGGGAGTTAAAGGACCAAGGTATAGCATTGGTTAAAGAATCTGCCTGCAATGCAGGAGACACAGGAGACTTTGGTTCAATTCCTGAATCGGGAAGATCCCCTGGAGTTGGTCAGGCAACCCACTCCAGTATTCTTGCTTGGAGAATCCTGTCAACTGAGGAGCTTGGCGGGCTATAGTCCACAGGATTGCAAAGAGTTGGACACAACTAAGCATGCACACAGGTAGCATTCTATGCTCTAGTAAGAAATTCTCTAAATTTTCCTAGATTTTGCTCACCTTGCAGTTTTGTCACACCTTCTGAAGTGGTCCCCTCTGAGAACTCATACTCATCCTTCAAAGCCCAGTGCCAACACCACCTCCTCCAGGAAGCTTTCCCTGATAACCTAGTCTGGTTTGAGGGGCCCTTTTCTGGGATTGCTGGTGTTACCTCCATCATGGAATTTATCATCCCATCTGTATCTGTCACTCCCACCAGCCTGGGAGCTTCCCTGGAGCAGGGACCTGGCCCGATTCCCAGCTGTGACCCCAGCCTCACTCAGGGCATTTGGAAGTGACTGAATGAATGAAAGACCAACTTCCAGGCAACAGGCATCATTTACCCCCGATGGAGCAGATTCGTGGCTGCCTGTCAGGGCCCTGTAGGGTGACCAGAACCTTCTCATTTCCAATCATGAAGACTGCCACCCCCCGATCCTCAGTTGTCTACCACCAGCGTGAGGACCCTGGTCTTCCCCAGCCCAGCCAGGGGTCCCTCACCAGTATTTCCATGATGTCTGGGTCATCTGGGACCCAGGGTGGGGTAGGGGAGGCAGGGGGCACGGGCAGTGCCAGTGAGCTGCTGTCTTCCGTGGTTGAGTCTGTCCCCGAGGAGTCGGTGGGCTCCATGGCCGCCAGGTTGAGCAGGGACACATTGGTGCAGGCTGAGGACCGTTTGAGGTTCAGGCACCAGTGCATCGGCTCATGGGACATCCGAGGCTCAACCCTGGGGTGGAGAAATGGGCAGTAGGGTCAGGGTGCGGCCCCAGCAGGGCACGGTTCCTCCTGCCTCCCTGCCTGCACATCCCCTAGTCCCTCTGACTCCATCCCCACTACCTTCTTCCTCTTACACTCTTGAGTCCCCCTTGGCCACTGGCCCCCTGCCTGCCTCTCCTCTGCCCCATCCTCTTCTTCCCCACCCCTTCCTCCAGCACCCACGGTGGGACTTGTGCTCTGTTGGAGGCAGCTCTGGGCGCTAGGACCCCGACAGGGTGCAACAAACCCACCCGTGGAACGACACAGCCTTCTTTTTCTTCGCGATCCCCTTGACTGGGCTGGTTACCCCCCCAGGAGTCTCGGGGACCAACTGGGAGCGGCTCTCGACCCCCGCGGGGGGGTCCCCAGCCTCATGGATCTCTTTGGACTGCCAGATTGTCTTCACCACCACGCTCGCCATGGCGTGTGGGGGGCCCGGCTCCCAGGGGCTCCCTCCTCCGAGACTGTCCACCTATTCTGACCACTGCCCCTCAAGGTCCCTGGTCCCCACAAGCCTGACTCATAAAGGACCCAACCACTGGGCTCCAGTAAGGTGGGGGGGTGGGGAGCACAGGGGTGGGAAACGTGACTTATCACCTTCCCCCAGGGGGGCTCAGTGAACTCTTCCTTGTCCGGGTTGCTAGTTCTGCCCTGATCTTTCCCCCACTTCAGAACCATAGTGAAACTGATTCATTNAGAGATCAACAAGGAGTTCTTGGCCCTTGGACATACCCACCACTCTTTCTGGATGCTTTGCTGGGTGGCAGCTGGAGAGGTGGGTTTCTGGGGCCTTCAATCAGGATACTGGGTCCCCCAAATCCCTCACCACTACTAGCAAATCCTGTGATAAAGCTTCAACTTTAAAAAGTTTTTTTTTTTTTTTTTTTTTTTTTGCTGTGCCGTGTGGCTTCCGGAATCTTAGTTCCCCAACCAAGGGTTGAACCCCAGCCCCAGCAGTGAAAGCACCAAGTCCTAACCACTGGAATGCCAGGGAATTCCCTGTAGCATTTTTAAAAATTAATTAATTAATTAATTTTTGGCTGCACTGGGTCTTCATTGCTGTGCGGGCTTTTCTCTAGTTGCAGAGAGCGGGGGCTAGCTCTAGCTGCACTGTGTGGTGTGTGGGCTTCTCATTATGGTGGTTTCTCTTGTTGTGGGGGACAGGGTCTAGGGCTCTCAGCCTTCAGTATTTTGTGATTCACAGGTTCTAGAATGTGGGCTCTCTAGTTGGGGCATGTGGGCTTATTTGCTCCATGTCACATGGGATCTTCCTGGATCGGGGTTCAAACTCCTGTCCCCCACATTGGCAGGTGGAGTCTCAACCACTGAACCATCAGGGAAGTCCCCCTGTATCATTTTATAAGGCTCCACATATAAGTGATATCATTTGGTACTTGTCTTTCTCTGACTTACTTCACTTAGTGTGATAATCTCTGTGTCCATCTGTGTCGCTGCAAATGACATTATTTTGTTCTTTTTTATAGCTGAGTAATATTCCATTGTGTATATAGACCATATCTTCTTTATCCACTCCTCTGTTGATAGACATTTAGGTTGCTTCTGTGTCTTGGTTATTGTAAATAATGGGCTATGAGCTCTGGAGTGCATCTGTCTTTTCAAAGGAGAGTTTTTCATCTGTTCTGTATATATGCCCAGGAATGGAATTGCTAAAACACATTTTTTAAAAATACTGGATAATGTATGCAAGTATAACAGGGAGAGATCACTTTAAATCCCTAAATCCGGAATTTCTCTCTGAAGAGGGGCCATTCTGTTGTGACCTGAAGGACAAGCCAGCCGCGGGGAAAGCCAGGGTGGGCAGGGGGCAGGAATGAGTCTTCATGTTGTTGTTTAGTCACTAAGTCATGTCCGACCCTTTGCAATGGACAGCAGCATGCCAGGCTCCTCTGTCCTTCACTGTCTCTTGGAGTAAGATAGGTTCATTGAGTCGGTGATACTCTCCAATCATCTCATCCTCTGTCGCCCCCTTCTCCTCCTGCCCTCAATCTTTCCTAGCATCAGGGTCTTCTCCAATGAGTCGACTCTTCGCATCAGATAGCCAAAGGAATGAGTCTGGAGGGTCTGAGTGGCCAAGAGGAGGCCAGTATGGCTGATGCATTTAAGCTGGGGAGGGACACAGCTGACTGATGTTGTTAAAAAGCACCCTGAGTGGCCAGGATGGAAGCAGGGAAAACAGCGTGGGAGGTCATAGCATGGTTCCAGCAAAAGACGATGGTGATGGTGGTCTGCACAGGGGGAGGCAGTGGCTGTGGGAGAAGGTGGCTGGATTTTGGGTATGTTCTGGCATTGGTTTGGTGTGAAGGACACGGCAGGGTCCTTTCTGGTAAGAGTGCCTGGGTGATTGATGGTGGGCCCATCTACCAAAATGGGAAGATGGGGGATGAGTCCTGTTTTTCTGGTGAAAATTGAGTTGATTTGTTCAGGTCAGAATCTCAGAAACTATCGTGGTTCAACCTGTGAGCTCTTCGAGGGACTTCTGGTGTTCTCTCTCTTTGTGCTCCATCCTGAAACCAACAAGGACTTGTCTAAACCTCATCTAGACCCCCACACATGAGCTTCTTCATGATGGTCTTAAAACTTAGCAAAGGGTCACCTGCTGAGCTCTTGCACCCCAGACTGGTCTTGCTCAAATCTGGCTTCTAATTTTCGGCCTCTGATAATGCCCCATGGCTGCTGAGCGATTGCGACATGGTGAGTCTCCACTGAGATGTGCTATGTTTATAAACACCAGATTTCAAACACTTAGGATGATATGTCAGCTATGTTGAAATCATAATATTTGGGTTGTTGTTTGTTGTTGAGTCGCTAAGTCATGTTCAAATCTTTTGTGACCAAGGGACTATAACCCACCAGGCTCCTCTATCCATGGGATTTCCCAGGCAAGAGTAGTGGAGTGGGTTGCCATTTCCTTCTCCAGGGGATCACCCTGACCCAGGGATCGAACCCGTGTCCCCTGTATTGGCAGGCGGATTCTTTACCACTGAGCCACCTGTGCTGTGCTTAGTCACTCAGTTGGGTCCGACTCTTTGTGACCCCACTGACTGTAGCCCGCCAGGCTCCTCTGTCCATGAGCTTCTCCAGGCAAGAATACTGGAGTGGGTTGCCATGCCCTTCTCCAGGGGATCTTCTCAACCCAGGGATCGAACCCACTGAGTCACCAGGGAAGCCCAATATTTGGGCGCGAGGGGTTAAATGAAATATATTATTAAGATTCATCTCACCTTTTCTTTTTACTTTTTTAACGTGGGAGGAGCATATTTGTGACTGTTTTTGTGGCTCCCACTGCATTTCTTTTGGAAGGCGCTGCTCTAACTTGGCACTGGTGAGCCCATGAGCTCCTGTTGGGGGTGCCAAATCCATCCCCATGAAGTCTACGAAGAGGGTGGCTTTTCCCTCTTCCTTAGGGACATAATTCTGTTCATCCGGCTCTGGATGTCTCTCTTTGCATCCCCTGAAAAGCAGACTAATTCCAACCCACTACTATCTATCTGGTATCTATCTATATTTAATGGTGTTATCCTCAGGGAGAAAAGTGCTTCTTCCCTTGTCATGAATGGACTCCTCCAGTCCTTGGATTGCTTGACATTATCTTCCATAAAAAGGAGTTTTTCCAACTCCTATTGGTCCTAATAATTTGTTGTTATTGTTGTTTATGGGGCCATTATGGGTCTTTAGGGGCAGACAGCTTCCCCCCACACCAGAGATGTTTGTCCTCCTGGAATCCAAAATAGACTTTCCCAAGCCCCATCCCTGGAAGCCCAAATGGACGAATCCATTGAACCTGGAAGATGGGCTCTTCTGCCCCGTCCCCATCCCCCCAGGGGATGTTCCCGGGACCCGTGACACTCCCTTAAGGCTCAATCCAAGCATACTAGGCTTCTGATATTGGAAAAACCTGACGGGGGACTTAGTTCTTCTAGGTGCTAGAATGGACTCTTCCAGTTCCCTTTGCCCCAAATTTCTCAATAGCCCAGGGCGTTGGAGTTTCTGAGGTTTTGCCTTCCCCAAATACAGTCTAACGTGGAAGGTCTCTGGAGCGACAAGCGGTGTTGGTTGGGCCAAACAAAGCGGGTTCACCGACTGCTTTCCTTATCGAACGTTCTTCATTCATTACCAGGTCTCCTTCTTGTTCAGGAAGAACTCAAAGTCTGGTGGAAAGACTCGCAATTTGTATTTGGTATCTATTTAATGGTGTTACAGTTGCAACAACAACAACAAAAGCCATTGTATATTAGAATGCCAGAATATAGTTTAATCCCGAGCTCTGTGACCTTGGGCACGTCATTCAATCTCTCTGGACGTCAGTTTTAACCTCTGCTTAATGGGAGTAGACTTGAATTACTGTTTCGTCAGCTCTGGGATACTAGGCTTCCGGAGAAGTTAGGTCCCAACATCTCGGCGGCTAGAGAAGGGAAAGGAAGGAAGAAGGGAGGGGGAGGAGGTAGGGACGTCTCCCTGGAAGAAGATTTAAGGAGTCCGGGGGTGGAGGAGAGGAGGGGGGAGGGAAAGGGAACAGAAAAACGCTTGCGCAGTAAGCACCTCGCGCTTTCCCGCCCCTCCCAACTTCTTCTCTGCAGCAGGGAATTGCAGGAGCCGCTCCACCTATCCCAGCCCAGGCGAGTAACGACCCCCCTTTCTCCTTCCTTCTCTACGGATCGTCGCCCTCCTCCTCTGCCCCCGACACCGGCCCAATCCGCGACGCCCGCGGGGGCGATCTACCCGCCCATTGGCCTCCGTCAACGTGAGTCCCGCCTCTGCAAGTCCACGCCCCCTCCGTCCTTCGCGTCCGTCCCTCCCTCCTGGGAGAGCACCCGGATCCAATCGGTCCCTCACCTGGCCGAGCGGAGGGGGCGGTCCCACTGTACGTCACGAACTCCGCCCGTCTCTTGGTCAACGCCCCCACCCCTTCCACTCCCCGAGCGGAAATAGCGGGGCGCTGGACCAATCGGAACCGCACGCCTTTGTCCAGGGACCAATGAGACAGGCGGAGGGGTCGAGCCTGCGTCTGAGCGCCAGTAATTGCAGCCTATAGGCGGCCCTGAGAGCGCAGGCCGGNCCTGTGGAGAGGTAGAGTAGGAGGAGGCCAGAGAGGACTGGGAGGACGGGAAACACAGGAAACCTAAAAGGAACCGGGCTTGAAGGCCTGGGCAGGGGGTGTCATAGAGGCCAAGGGGCTAGACAGGTCACAGAGGCGCTCAACTGGTTCATAGAGAGGACTTGAGAATGATAGAAAGTCCCAGGGATTTGGGGAGGAGACATGGGAACAAGGGAGACTCTCTGGGACCTTGGTGAAGCATAGAGGGGCTCCTGAGTGGAGGATTGCTTTGGAGACGTAGCGGGCAGTGGAGAAGGGGCTCGAGGGGTTACTGAGGGGAGCACGGAGGAGGAGCGCTGCAGATGGAGAGTCCTGGAAAGAAGAGGTCATTATAATGTGGGGACTTGGGGGAAGTGCCAGAAGGGAGAGAGCTCAGATCTCAAAGAAGGGGCCTGGGGGGCCTTAGAAATCCATGGG